TCTTGGGTCTTGTCACCCCCCCTCCTTTAGGTGTCAAGGTTTTAGGGCTTACTCCTGTGGGACCCTGAGCCATATGTGGTATTACAGTCATGAATGATTGATCAGCTTACTCCCACGACCCTTCTGTACAGTGAAAGGCAACTGGCAGAAAGAGAGGTGACAGCCCCTTGGCAAAGAGACCCTGCTGCTGAAGTGCTTGCCCTCTTCCTGCAATGGATTCCAGGGCTGCTGGAGGGCACTCAGGAGAGACCAGGTGAAGCCTGGGAGGCACTTCAGCAGCTGTCCTAGGAGGGTTACAGCAGAGTGTCTTCATTAGTTAGCCTGAGCTCACAGAGGGAAAAACAGTTTGCTTTTTCAGTTGGTCTCACCTGGCTAAGCTCTTTCTTTTTTGTCCATTTCTTTTTTTTCTTTCTTCTTTTCAGGGGGTGGGGGATATGCTACACCCATCCATGCTCAGGGGGTTATTCCTGGTTCTGCACTCAGGAATTACTTTTGATGGTGCTTCAGGGAGGGGCTGGGGTTAGAAGGGATGCCAGGTTTAGAACCAGGGTTGGCCTCGGCCTTGTGCAAGACAAACATCCTATCCACTGTACTATCATTCTGCCCCCCCCCCCCTTTTTTTGTATGTACTTTTGATTGCCTCATTACTCTAAGGTGAAACTGAATTCAAATGACTGGTAGTTGTTAATTCAAGCTTTAATATGTTATTTATTTTATTTTAAATGCCTGGCATGGATATTGCAATGAATATGATAGGTGAAGTTCTTTAAGGATTTTTTTTTTTAAAACAGTAGCTTTGGGGGCTGGAGCGATAGCACAGCAGGTGGGGCATTTGCCTTGCATGCAGATGACCGGGGTTTGATTCCCAGTATCATATGGTCCCCCGAGCACCGCCAGGAGTAATTCCTGAGTGCGGAACCAGGAGTAAGCCCTGTACAATGCAGCTGTGAGCCAAAAAGCAAGCGCCCCCCCCAAAAAAAAAAAGCTTAAAAATTGGCAGCAAGCTAACTTTCTAGCTAATGTATCAGTTTACCCTCATTATTTTGCTTGCCTCCTGTTTTAGAAACAAAATGATCTGAACCTTGTACTTTTTTTGAGTGGCAGAAGCGCATGCTACAATTCTCAGGAGTTATTCCTGGGTCTGTGCTCAGGAATCCCTTTGGGTTGTTCTCAGAGGACTTTATGGGATGCCGGGGATCAAACCCGAGTTGCCCTGTGCTAGACAAGCACCTTACTATACTATAGCTTCAAGCCCTTGTACTTTTGAAGAAATAGATGTTAGAAACTGAAATGAGTCACTTATGAAGAACAATGGCGTTGACTGCCTGTGTTTTTGTTTAGTGTATGTTACCCTCTCTATTATATCTTCAGCCCTAAAATGACGTTTACTTTTGTTTTTAAACAATTTTAATTTTTGTGATTTGGGGGCCACACCGAACTGTGTTTTGGGTTTACTCCTGACTCTGTGCTCAGATTACTTATGGCGCTCAGGGGACTATGTGTGATACCAGGGATTGAACTGGGTTTGACTGTGTGCAAGGCAAGTGCCTTAGACCCTGGACCATCCCTTCCATGATTTATTTCTATAAAGCACATGCATCCTTCTAACCTCTAAATGGGAATGTCTTGAGCCAGAGAAGGTGAGTCTTTTATTTCTAATAATCTGTATATGCATGCCTGGTTTCCTTGAATTCTTTGTTGTTTTCCTAGACCTGCTTTGTTCTACTAGAGAACTGCTGTCATTAAATACGTCAGTTCAGGTGGTTAATAATAAACTTTTGTAATCATTAGCCCTAATATCAGCTGTCAATTCTGTAATGAGTGATGAGAACCTATTGAAATCTCTACTATCTGGAAATAATACCTACCTTGCATGAAAGTTGTAAGAAGTTATATATATAGAAGCTTCATGCTAATTATTTTTAATAAAAATAGCTAATGATGGGAACACTAGTGATAGTACTAACTGGTGCCAGTCAGCACATGAAGCACTTTATATGGATATTTTTATCTAACAGTCCTTTGAACGGATGTACTGTTGTTATTCCAGTTTTACAAATGAGGAAATGAGGAGCTAGGTTGTTTTGTTTTGTTCTGGGGCCACTCCTGATGACTCTGGCAGCGCTCTCTTGTTGCAATGCTCCAGGGACCATCGGGTGCTGGGAATGGAAGCCGGGACTCCAGTCTGTGTGCAAATTATGTGTTCTAGCCCTTCGATCTGTTGCCCTAGCCCTGAAGTCAGACGCTGCTGTGTTGTTTTTGCACACAGGCTATAGAGTATTAGGTATCAGTGATGGATCCCAGTTTCCAGTAAGAATGTGGAAAATGTGGTTTTTAGAGTGATGAAATTACTCTTCTTGTTTGGTATTGATTGTTTTTCACACCCACAACTATCTTTAGAAGGACAATATTTTAAAATTGGTTTGACATATAAGATGATTTAACTTGGGGAAGGGTCAGCTAGAAAACAGCGAAGCATGACCCTTGGCATGGTAGTAAGCATAAGTTTCCACCTATCTCCAGATATGTTATTGTGGTAATAATAAAAGTTAAAAAGAAAAGAATTAAAAAGGAAAAAAAGAAAAAACTTAATGGGAATTTGGGCCAAATCTGGTAGTGCCCAGAAGCTACTCCAGGCATGGTGCTCAGGGTCATTCCTAGAGAGATTGGGGTGTGTGGTGAGGTGTGTGGCAGCAGGTATCAGGAATTGAACCCAGGCTTCTGCATGTAAAGCATGCATTCAAGTTTTTTGAACCATCTACCTGGCCTGAAAACTTTATTTTTTTAAATTATTATTATTTTTTGCTTTTTTTGGGGGGGGGGTCACACCCAGCGATGCACAGGAGTTACTCCTGGTTCATGCACTTAGAAATCTCTCCTGGCAGTGCTTGGGGGACCATATGGGATGCTGGGAATCGAACCCGGGTCTGCCGTGTGCAAGGCAAACACCCTGCCCGCTGTGCTATTGCTCCAGCCCCCTTTTTAATTAAATTTTTAAATTAAATCACCATCACAGCAGGTAGGGCATTTGCCTTGCATATGCTGACCCAGGTTCGATTTCTCTGTCCCTCTCGGACAGCCTGGCAGGCTCCTTGTGGTGTATTGGATATGCCAGAAACAGTAACAAGTCTCAATGGAGACGTTACTGGTGCCTGCTTGAGCAAATCAATGAACAACGGGATGACAGTGCTACAGTGCTACAATTAAATCACCATGAGATGCACAGTTATAAAATTGGTCATGATTGGGTTTCAGTCATGAAATGTTCTAACACTTATCCCTTAACCAGTGTGTATTTCCTGCCACCATTATCCCTAGTTTTCCTCCTGCAGTCCCCTCTCCCGCACCCCAGCCTGCCTCTATGACATGGCCTGGAAACTTTTAGTCTGTTCTTGTATACCATGCTAATTTGGTTTAGTAAAATGCCAATTATAATGTACAGATATATTCTTTCATTACCCTCAACAGAAATGTTTAAATTTCGTTTATATGTTTAAATTTTTTTCTTTTGCTAATTTGATAACAGAAATTGTAACCGTATTTTAAATGGCATGTTTTAGTTTATAGCTGAATTCTTTGAAGCATTTATTTAGGAATTCTTTGAAACATTTTTCAGGTTTACTCATTTTTCTTGCTGGTTTATGATTTAGAGTCTCTTCAGTCTGTTCAGTTAACCTTGGACATAAAAGATTTTAGAGTGATCAACAGTTAAAATTAGAATGGATAAACTCCCACAAGCATGACTTTTATGGATAGGAAGACTTAGAACAATACAACAAAACCAGTTATGAGCAAAGTCTGCCCTGACAGGTAGCTGAGAAGCCAGTAAATGGAAAATGTTAGGGTTCACAAGCCTAGCAATAGTAGTTGGTAAGGCTCTTGCCATTCATGTGGCCAACCAGGGCTCGATCCCTTGCCCCCTGTGGAGTGATCTCTGAGCACAGAGCCAGGAATAAGCTCTGTGGATATGCTCCCCACCCCCCCAAAAGGAAAATGTTGAGTTTAGAGCTTAAGAAAATATATTGAATTCATTTATTCTTCTTAAACGAATCCTTCCTTTATCATGAAGTCTGTGCACTCTCTCAGCATTGAATACCTTACTGTTGCTCAATAAAATTGTTCTTTAAAAAGGCTTTTTCTGAATTAAAGTGAAGGTGGAGAATGTCTCTAAATTTTAAGTTCAATTTTTAAAACTCTGTGCTGAGATTGTTCTGATAGTATATTTGGGACTTGTGGCCTTATATTTAATGATCTCAGTTCAGGTTCTGGACAAGCAAATCAGGGTGATAGCTAAAACTTTGTATTAATTCACAAATTGATGGTGAAACAATTTGGGAGATGCTAAATTAAAAAGTATAGAAATGTGAACTGTCTCCTTGACATGTTTTGTCCTTTTAAAAAAATTACATTCTTCAAACACAGAAATGCAAAAAACACCATTATATATAAATACCGTAGTTTACAGTTTCTTTTATGGCTAAAATTTCTGAGCTAATTTAGTAAAGAATTGAAAAGGGGGATATAGTTGACTCATTTGTATGAGTATATGTATGACTCATTTGTACAGAATGAAAACATGTTTATGAAGGACTGCATTAAATGAAAACTGGTATGCAGCTGACTCAGACAAAAGTGAAAAGCCATAACTTAATCTTACATTCTCTCCATGCATGCCAACAGAGCCCTGTAGGACAAAAGGGTACATGATTTAGGGTAGCTGGATTCCACACCGGTTCTTCTGGTGACTTATGAATGTGTGATCTTAGGTTAATAACTATCTCTGTATCTTCATTTTCCTAAACCTCTCCTTAAATAAGTTCGTGCGTAGGGTAGTAGCGCATATCTCTTAGGGCCTTTTACGTCTATAACTGATTCCCTTGTTTTCAGTTTTTTTTTTTTTTCCCCTGAGCCACATCCCAGGCCCTTGCTTTTAGATCTTAAAATATTTCCCTAGGAGATGTTTAAGGCCTAAGGTTTATCAGTCTGTCTTAAAATTTTAGGGAAGGCACATAAGGAATTTTCACAAGACTGCTGTTCAAAATGGACATGGAGGAGCCTTATTTGTGGTGAGTAATTGATTTTTTTTCCATGAAAAAAGACTTTGGAATTTGCATAACTGTTATCAAACTATAGTAAACACCAGTGTATTTGGCTTGTATGCTAGCTGTTGGCTGGAATTTAAATATAGCTTATTTAATTATGTACTGTCTTTGAAAACATGTGATTTCAGCTGAACCTTAGGTTGAATGGGTTCCAGGGCAACTCTGGGAACAAGAATTTAGATTATTCCTTGGTGAAATTACTGTGTGCGTTAACTTGATTTCTAGTTATATTTTGGGTTCTTAAAAATCAGTTATGTTCACTCACTGAAGTTTGAGATTTGGAGCATGAGATTTGGAGAATCCCCAAATAATTTGAACTAGTAGGTTTTGGTAGTTTAGTGAATACATTGGCAGTTGGTCTTTATAGTTTTGGTTTCTGGGGTTTACCTACAGATAGAAGTTATAAACTTACTTGCCTAATTTGGAAATATAAAATAACATGACCCCTTGTTGTGGCAAGATGCAGTTTTCAGGATTAGTTTAGTATTATTTAAAGATAATTGAATGTGGCCCTGGGAAGATAGTACAGCAGGTAGGGCACTTGCCTTATACGTGGCCAACCCAGGTTCAATCCCTGGTATTTCATATTTTTCCCCAAGAACTGCCAGGAGTAATTTCCTGAGCGCAGATCCAAGAGTAACTACTGAGCATCACCAGGTGTGGCCACAAAACAAACCCAAGAAAGATAACTGAATGAACTTGTATGGTCATTTTGAGTTTTTATATTGTATTTATTTATTTATTTTGCTTTTTGGGTCACACCCGGCGATGCACAGGGATTATTCCTGGCTCATGCACTCAGGATTTACTCCTGTCGGTGCTTGGGTGACCATATGGGATACTGGGAATCGAACCTGGGTCAGCTGCGTGCAAGGCGAACACCCTACCCGTTGTGCTATCACTCCAAGCCCCTATATTATTTTTTAAAACAAAGGTATTTCCAGGCTATTAATAGTTGGCAATACTACTGACAAGCAAATACCTGTTTTATATGTTGTCATCATTTTTTCAAAACTTACTAAATTTGGCACAAACTTGAGATCATTGCCCAAAGTTTCTGTTTTCTTTCCTCTTTTTGAAAAAGCAGAACTCCGAATTAATCTATTAAGAGATTCTGTTCTGGTTCACCACACATACAAAACATAATAAGTGTTAGCCTCAACATGACTCATTTAATTTCCTGTAATGCTATTTTTTTGTCATTTTTTTTAAAAAAAGAGCCTGCTTGCTGGAATAGAGAAGGGATCACTAAGAAAATGATGGCTTGAGAAACCGGTCAGGATGGGAGATGTGTGCTGAAAGTAGATAATGGACCAAACATGATAACCTCTTAGTATCTGCATTGCAAACCATAATGCCCCAAAGTAGAGCGTATGGGGAATCATGTCTGCCATGGAGGCAGGGGGAGGGTGGGAAAGGGGGGTATACTGGGGATATTGGTGGTGGGGAATGTGCACTGGTGGAGGGATGGGTGTTTGATCATTGTGTGATTTGCAACCCAAACACAAAAGCTTGTGACTATCTAACGGTGATTCTATAGAATAAAAAAAAAAGTCTGCTTCATGGCGAGAAAACGAAATTTTCTTTTGACTTGATTCTGTTACAGAGATCTAGTGGTTGGTGAATTTGTTATATGTGAGAGAATTGTTCTAGTTTTCTTTTTTTCTAAAGTAGTGGCTTCCTTTCATACTATCAGTATAAGCTTTTTAAAAAAACTTATAAGCTTTTTTTTAAAAAACAAGCTTTTTTTAAAAACCATATATATTTAAAAAATTAATTTATATATGGTTATACTTAAAATTTTGTGTTAATTTTATAAGGTTTCCAATATTCAATAATGTTCTGGTAATTATATTAGAAGATTCTGTGTCCTAGTAAAGCTATATAGCCCTTTTTTCTTCTTTGGTCTTAAATCTACCTTAAAGGGTGATTATATTTTTTAAATACTGTTTTCCCTGAATTTGAGATCTGCTAACATTATTTTAGTTAACATTCATGAAATAGAATCATCATTCAAGTTATTTGGATTGCTATTATGTTGAAATTAAAGTTTAGCTAATCATTAGTGATAGTAGAATATTATGCAAAGTTGCTAACACTTTGAAGGGAATATTCCTAATTTTAGAAAAAACTTCTTTTCCTTTTGTATAGCACAGAGATACTCCTGAGAATAATGCAGATACTCCGTTTGATTTCACACCAGAAAACTATAAGGTATGATTAACTGAATGTTATATAATTAATTTACAAGCTATTTAGTGTTTTCGGATGTATAAAAACATACTTTTTTGTTGATGTAGAGGATAGAAGCAATTGTGAAAAACTACCCAGAAGGACACAAAGCGGCAGCTCTGCTTCCAGTCCTGGATTTAGCACAGAGACAGAACGGATGGCTACCCATCTCTGCTATGAACAAGGTGCTCATTCCATTTTTGTCGTGGATTGTGGAACTTCTCAAACTTAGAAATTCATTTGGTGGTAACTTACTAGGTTAGAATCTAGAAGTTTGAAGACTTAAACCTTGTAGTTTTGTATGCTGCCTCAGATTACGTTTGCGTTTTTGTTGGTTTCTTTAATAATGCAGAGAACCAAAAGTCTACAGAAGTGATATAGACAAATCAGGTTAGCCTATTGATAGAATTTACATGAGTCATCTTTTTCTTACAGTGTTTTTCATCAGTATTCTGAATTTCAAGAAAATATAACAAAATCCAGAAGCTCATGTAGTACTTCCTTAATCTTTAAGAAGATCACAGCAGCAGCTCCTGAAAACATTTTCCCCTTTTTGCGGGGTGTCCACACCCTACCATGTCTAGGACTTGCTTGCCGTTTTGCTCAGGGAACATTCCTGGCTTTTTACTTAGGGACCAGATGTGGGGCTGGAGATCAAAACCCTTGTCAGCTTCGTGCAAGACAAACGCACTACTCACTGTACTATCTCTCTGGCCCATATCCCATCTCTCCATTTTAAAATTACCCATCAGGGTCTTGCTTTAAATTTGTCCAATTATTCTAGTTATAAGCTCCAGCAAAGGTATTTTCATCTCCAGCCCAAGTATTTGGAGAAAACTCCCCAGATTCAGAGGTACTTGCCTGATTTAATATGTCACTGAGTTAATTTAGCACAACTACTTTATCTTTCACAAGTGAACTGTGATTAGTTAATCTTTCAAGAATGTTTTGTTTAGAAATGCGATTTGACAACGTTAAACATGTCTCTCAGCTGAAATGCCATTTAATGAGCTCTTTAAAAAAAAATTTCAAGGCAAGGGGGTTTACCCACTGCACTGTCTCTCCAGCCCGGCCTTTTTTCAATGTAAAACGTGGCGTGTGCATAATTTTCAGAATGTTGTACAGAAAGGCCAGAAAAGTGGGATGGAGCAAAGTGGACGGAGCACATGGTTTTCAAATGCAGGAATCCTAGCTTGCTTCTTTGTCCTTCATGGTGCCCCCAAGCACTTAGCTGAGAGTGCTCTCTGAACATTCATGAATGTGACACAAAACCCCTCCACCCTAAAAGTAAAAATGAATGCAAGGCATCAAATCTTAAGGCCATGCTTTTGGGTGTTTTTGTTTATGGGCTACACTTGGAAGTGCTCAGGGCTTACTCCTGGTTCTGCACTGAGGGATCACTCCTGATGGGGCTTGGGGGATTATATGGGATGCCGAAGATTCAGTTGGGTTGGCTGCATGCTAGGCAGTACCCTGCCTACTACATTATCTCTCCAGCCCCCAAAGGTCTTGCATTTTACTGTTAAAAGATCACCTGGAAAGTTGTAGGCAGGGTCATAATCGTATATGAAGCATTTCTACCAGTCAGCTAAAAACCATTGTTTCTTAACATACATGCTTGATCCCCCTCTATGTTAAAACAAATCCTTTCTATCCTTGATTTGAAATTGGGAAATAGTTTAAATAATTCAGCTTTTGTAAGGAATATTGCAATAGGAAATAGAAGTCGTATTTGGGATTTTTCTCAAGAGCTGGGTATGTGTGTGGGATGCATATACATACAAGTATACAGACATGGGCCAATACTCAAATTTGATTCTTACCCATTTTCTCTTCCCATACTGTTTGCTCACATTCCTAGGTTTTGTTTTTTGATTACACCTACCAGAACTCTGGTAGTGCTTGGTGTCACTTCTGTGATGCTTGTGTGAATAATCATGTTCCAGGTATTGAACTTGGGTGTCTGCATGCAAAGCATGTACTTTAGCAAGCCCTTGCGTATTATTCTGCAAGTTAGTGAAAACTAGACATAATGTATTGGGTTTTGATCACAAAAATTTTGCCATTAAGAAATTTTAAACAACAAAATGTTGAAGAGTTGAAATTGAATCAAAGTAGAAATATTAATATTGAAATACTTAAGATTCAGATAAAAAGCATCTGTCTCTAGAGAGAATAGAGTAAATCTATCCTTATTGCAGAGATAAAGAATGAGATTATAGAAGGTGGAGAAAGAAGTATTGTAACCATTAGCTCTGGGGCACTGTGTGGTTTAAGTGTACGATATCTGCAAAACTTGAAGGACTTATGAAAACAGGTATGTTTTCTACTGAAGAATTTACTTTGTTTTTACCAAATTGAACACTGTCACTGTAACTTGAGCGGGTAGCGTCTCCATTTTGAGACTTGTTGTTACTGTGTTTGGCATATTGAATATGTACTCTCGGTAGCTTCCCGGGCTCTCCAAAAGGGGCGGAGGAATCGAACCCAGCTTGGCCAGGCTGGCTGCTGCAAGGCAAACACCCTACCGTTGTGCTATCGCTCCAGCGATTCGATTTGATACCGAAACAATATCAAAATTGTGCTTTTTATAGTATACCCAATGCTCAATGAACATTGTGATCCATTAAAAATTTTCCTAATATTTTAGGTTGCAGAAGTGTTACAAGTACCTCCAATGAGAGTGTATGAAGTAGCAACTTTTTATACAATGTATAACCGAAAACCAGTTGGAAAGTATCACATTCAGGTGTGCACCACTACACCCTGCATGCTGCGAAACTCCGACAGCATTCTGGAGGCTATTCAGAAAAAACTTGGTATGAGACACATTGTCTTTATAACTTTTGGAAAAATAGAACTATCTTTTTTTTTTTTTTCAGATTAAACCTAATTCTATCTAACTTTTCAACTTTTACATTCTTATTGGCTCTTTTCTAGGAAATCTCTGTCTTACATTGTTTATCCACCCTAATTTTCCTTTTGTATTCCTTAAAAACTCAGAATTGAGTTTTTATTTTTCTTGTTATATTTGAAAAATCTTTATTTTAGTAGGTTTAATTATTGGTATCTATGAAAAAATAGTCTCATATACTGTTACATAATGAACATTGAAAATGGATGAAATACCCTAAAATTGATTGTTTTAAGGGAACCAGTTCCTTTTAAATATTTAAATGTTTTAATGTAATTATAAGTAAATATTCTAATTTAGGAAATTCAAAGCGTGAATTTTTTTTAAAAATTTATCTCTGTAATGTGTTGCTGGTTTTTAAATTTTCTTAAAACTCCTATAAACCTGATTCTAACAGTGGTCATTTCTGTATATTTTAGGAATAAAGGTTGGGGAGACCACACCTGACAAACTTTTCACTCTTATAGAAGTGGAATGTTTAGGAGCCTGTGTAAATGCACCAATGGTTCAGATAAATGACAACTACTATGTGAGTATTTCACCTCATATATAGCATAAATTGAAGTAACATGTTTTTGTATTTAAAATAATTTGTTTTTTGTCCTGAAGTTGCTTTTTTTGTACAAATATCTGGACAGTTTGAAGATCAGGGTGACTTAATACTAGAATAAACCTCGTGTATAAGACCTGAGTTCAAACCTAGTACTAAAAAATTTTATAATGTTAAAAAAGAAGAAAAATATTCACATATTTTTACATTTACCTCCAAGAGGTATGGTAAATTTTAAAAATTCGATGAACAACGGGAGGGCAGTGATTTTAGTTCTTAAATTTTTTTTTTTTTTGCTTTTTGGGTCATATTCGGCGATGCACAGGGGTTACTCCTGGTCTGCACTCAGGAGTTAATCCTGGCAGTGCTCAGGGGACCATATGGGATGCTGGGAATCGAACCCGGGTGGGCTGCGTGCAAGGCAAAAGCCCTGCCCACTATGCTATCTCTCCAGCCCCAGTTCTTAATATTTTTAATAATATTTATAGAAGTAAGTTCTGTACAGGTAAACACTACAAAATCTTTTTCCTTTCCTTTGATTTTCAGATGCAATACTATCATAAATTTAGTGTTTTTGCTGTACAAGTCACTGTCACCCCGTTGTTCATCGATTTGTTCAAGTGGGCCCAGTAATGTCTCCATTGTGAGACTTGTTGTTACAGTATTTGGCATATTGAATACGCCACGGGTAGCTTGCCAGGCTTTGCTGTGTGGGCGAGATACTCTCAGGTAGCTTACCGGGCTCTCTGAGAGGGGCGGAGGAATTGAACTCGGGTTGACCATGTTGGCTGCGTGCAAGGCAAATGCCCTACCCGCTGTGCTTTGTCATTTATTTAACATAGTATTTCATATATAAAATTTTCTAGTTTTTTCTTTTCGGATTTTGGATTACATCTGGTGGTGTCAGGGTTTACTGCTGGTGGGACTTAGGCTACCATATGTGGTGCCAGGAATTGAATCCTTATGACTGCATGCCATACAAGTACCTTTTGTGCTTTACTTTCTTTACAAGCTCTATATAAAATTCTATACTTCGTACTTTGTATTTACATTTGATATATATATGTAGATAGAGATATATATTTAATCCTCTAGGTTTAGTGAAGAAATAAACTTGGGGAGACTGAGAAAGTTGTCTAAGATTAGTAACTAGTAAGTGTGGAATGAGAATTCAAGGCAGACCTCTTCCATTTCATATCACTGCTGTCTTTTTAGCAATAGCTCTTAACGTATAGTGAATTTAGTAGTATAGCCTATAGTAGGTGTTATTCTGTTCCTGTTCTCTATGTGGGAGTTATTCTTATTCAGTTACTGCTAATTTTGCCAACTAACTTGTAAGCTTAGAGGTAAATAATAAACTAGTAATGGGGATTTATGTGGATTTTAATAGAAGGAAGTAATTCTGTTTTTTGGTTTTTTTTTTTAATTTAAATATAGCTGTCATGTAGTGCCACGATCCCCGTGGTGTATTCAATATGCCAAAAACAGTCACAACAAGTCTCACAAAGGAGACGTGACTGGGCCCGCTTGAGCAAATCGATGAACAACTAGAGGACAGTGCTGCAGTAGTGCCAGTATATATTAAATGATTTATTATTTGTACCTGTGGCAAAATTATCACATTAATATCTATCATGTTTTTCTTGCAATGAAAACTTTTTTCATGTTTTACAAAAGTAAACTTGTACAACTTTTAGATACACAGTACAGTATTAGCTTTCATCACCGTGCTGTACTTTAACCTCTGTCAGACCACTTTATGCCTACTTCCTTTTGGTAACAGCCAATCTTTTCTCTCTCTTTAATTTTTTTTTTATCAAATTCTCTGGGCATTTTAATTTTATTTTTATTTGAATCATTATGATTTATAATACTGTTCATGAGAGGGTTTCATCCATCCAGCATTCCAAAGCCAAGAGAATGTCCATTCCCTTCTAATCATTGTCTCAGGGTCCCCTACCTTTGGTTAGCTGTTTTGTAGCCTAATTCTCACGGTCTGTCTCCTTTTGCCATTTATTAATCTGCCCTCTGCGTCTTGAACTTAGAGGGTTTTTTGCTTAGGCTTTATTATTTATCATTCTGATTCTACATGTAAACGAACTAATAATATTTGAAGTAAGTTTTATATGACGATAGTAATTTTCTTTCTAGGAGGATCTGACACCTAAGGACATCGAAGAAATTATTGATGAGCTGAAGGCTGGCAAAGTACCAAAACCTGGGCCAAGGTATGTTTTTTTTTCTGTAAAACAATTTTTAATGGATTAACCTACTTTAAACTTTAAAATTTTATGCCCTAGATTCACAGGAGTTGACTTGTAGGCATGAAGAAACTTGTCATCTAAAACAAAATTTTTTTCTTTTTAATTGAATCGCCGTAAGAACAGTTACAAAACTTTTGGGTTTAACTCTTGGTCACCCAACTCTTCACCATTGCACATTTTCCACCACCAAGAACCCAATTATACCCTGTCCCACTCCTCCTCCTGCCTGTGTAGCAGATGATTTCCACTTTATTCTCTCTCTACTTTGATTACATTTAATTTTTTGACAGAAGACCCACCATTATTATTTGGAATTTTCCCCCAACAGTCAGACCTGCCAAAAAGACATCATTAGATAATTTGTTTTCTATTGCTGATAATGAAAAGCATATGATTTTGGATTTCTGATATTTTACTAAATAAGTCTGGAGGGATTTCTGCCAAAAGCTGCTGGGTTCCGAGATTGCTTTGTGTGCCTCTGGGATCATGGCTGTTCAGGAGCCAGAGGAGCCATGGGCGGCAACTTGGGGTCTCGTTTGGGTGGGCCAAAACTTTTTTTTCTAAAATCAGGTACTGATACTGACCTGAATATTTAGGGAGAAGGGATATTTATTACAAATAGAAGTCTATTTCACTGTGGGTTTTTTTTTTTGGTGGGGGGGTCACAACTGGCGATGCACAGGGGTTACTCCTGGCTCTGCACTCAGGAATCACGCCTTGCGGTGCTCAGGGGACCATATGGGATGCTGGAAATCAAACCCGGTTTGGCCGCGTGCAAGGCAAATGCCCTACCCACTGTGCTATTGCTCCAACCCCCAATATTTCACTGTTTTAAATTTCATAATGTTACAAGATTGACGCCAAAATTTGCATCCCTCTAATTTCTTCCTCAGGACCTATTCTAGCCTTTAAACCAATAGGGACTTTTCGTACCCAGGACCTCACACATGCCAGGCTTGTGTTCAATCAGACCCAATATAAATGTAAGATGATTCTTACATCTTAGCCAAATGACAGCCATCTTGTCTTCCTGTATCCTTTTAACAGTTCTTTGGTTACTTTTCCTTTTATGAATCGTTTTGGTCAGAAAAAGAGAAACTTGGATAAGTAATTTAGGTTAATTCCTAAATATAATACAGTGTGATTACTGGATTGTTTTCACTAAGAGTGATAGGGGTGATGTTATTATGATATTGTTAAAAAATATTGTCATAGTTACTGTAAGAATGAATAGTTTTAAATTCTGTGTGTGTTGCAGGGGTACTAGGGTACTAGGGTATTGCATTTGAGTTTTTATGAAAGAAACTAAATTCACAGTGAAGCATTTTCAAATATGATAAAATGAATGTTTCAGTAATTGAAATTAGTCACTGAAATTTTGAACTCACTTTTATTCTCTACTTAATGCCTGTACTTAAATAGTAAAGCTGAAGACGCTAATCGTTTAGTAATTGTCAGCCATCTATCAGTAAAGTGCATAAAGGCGATTATTGGGGCTGGTAAATCTAGCATAACTTCCCAACATAAGAAAAGAAGTTTCTCTTTCTTCTAGTTAGTTTCATGGATGTATAGGATAGTGAAGCTGGAATGATAAGCAGTAATCATGATGCAGGTACAGTTAATCTTTTAAATTAACCCAAGTTGACTGTAGAGGCCCTTGGCAGCTTAGTGCTCAGAACTTGTCTTCTGGTGGTGCAGAGCTAAGGATACGGCTTCTTGTATGCTGAGTATGTGTTCCAGCCTATTGAATGATCTCTTTACTCCCACCCCAAAACTACTTTTCAATTCAACTTAAATAATTTGATAGCATTTATTTTATCCTCGGGCTGGATAGCACAGTGGGTAGGGCATCTGCCTTGTACATGGCTGACCAGGGTTTGATTCTTCTGCCCCTCTCGGAGAGCCTGGCAAGCTACCAAGAGTATCTCGCCCGCACGACAAAGCCTGGCAAGCTACCCATGACGTATTCAACATGCCCAAAACAGTAACAAGTCTCACAGTTTGTTGTGAGATGTTCTAGTGCCCGCTTGAGCAAATTGATAAACAACGGGAGGACAGTGACAGTGATCTTATCCTCTGATATGTAGACTGCTTTTTTGGGGGGAGCAGGGAGGCGGTTTTGGCTGGGGCTGGAACCCAGAGCTTCCTTCATGCACAGTATATACTTCAGCCCTTTGAGCCATTGCAATGACTGTTTTTTGATCGTAGTGGAAAAAAAAAAAACCTGTATTGCAAATATCTCCACACCTATGTGACTTGTTAGACATCCTGTCACAGTGCATAGTTACTTATATTAACATAATAGCTTAGAAGATCCATGTTGTCATTTTTGGATCCCTCAAGAAAATTGGACTTCCTAAAAATTCTCAGCAAACTTAAGGGATTAATGACATGTAAAAGACAAAATTAGAAGGAGGAAAGAGAATCTGAACAAATGCTTCACTGGTATAGCACCAGAGTAAATTTAACAAAGTCAGGGAATAGGAATTAAATCGGAGTAGGTGCTGAGGTGGCCTCCGGCGAGGGTCAGGCTGGGTAGAGGTTGAGTGACTGTCTGGAAAAGTGTGTGTGTGGGTGGAAAAAACAGGTTCCTCTGCTTCGGTGCTGCTGCCTTTCATAGATTTCTACATCAGGGCTTATTCTTGATTTCTTTTTGGCTGTGGTAGTCTAGAACAGGTATCTAAACAAATTTATATTACTAATACAGCCTTTAAGAATGAAAACAAAGTTCTTTTAAATTAGAAAAGTAATAAAAAAAAATAGCAACAACAAAAATACATGTGCAGGGCCAGGGTGGTAGAATACTTGGTTGTGCTGTAACCATGTCCCTAGATTAGATCTCTGGCACTGCGAAAAGGGAAAAACCTAAAAACCTGATAATGACTAATTTTATCTGCACTACTAGGGTCAATGTCCAAGTCTTTCATTTCCTCAAGGAATCCAGTATCTTTAACTTATTTTGGGGGAGTGGGGGAAAGCTGATTCTTTTTTTCTTTTGACCCCGCCTGACAGTGCTCAGGACTTTCTTCTGGCTCTGCTTAAGGATCACTCTTTGCAGGGCTCATGGGATCTAATGGAATGTTAGGGATTTGAATCAGGACTGTCACTTTTATATGTGGTAAATAATTGTCACTTAACAGGATTTTTCTTTTTCTTTCTTTCTTTTTTTTTTTTTTTAAGGAGCGGACGTTTCTCTTGTGAGCCAGCTGGTGGTCTGACCTCTTTGACGGAACCACCCAAAGGACCTGGTTTTGGTGTGCAAGCAGGCCTTTAATTTATATTTAATTGTAAATAAGTCTCTGAAAAAATAAAACGTGAATCACTTATCTACATGAACTTATGTTCTCTTATTGCAATCTTTCTACAGTTGGTGATAAACTAGCACCTTGTACCTGCATGTACGTACCACGTAAAATCTTCAGAGTATTATTTTAATCTCTTCTATCTGCTGCTAACTATGAAGATAATAATTCATAATCTGTTTATTAGTAGATAGTCACCCATTTTCAGTTACCAGCCCCATCCCTGCTTTTTTAACAGTGGAGGCCACACCCAAGGACTGGGGAAGTGGGGGCTACTCCTAGCCTTGCCTGGAGTGGCAGTACTTGAAGGGCTACCATTCCTCAGGTATCAGCGTGGTAACAGGGATTAAATTCAGGTCCTTGCACATGTCATGCATGTATTCTACCACTTGACTCTCTCTCGGTCTTCCATGTCTTTTAAACAACACTAGCATATTGGAAACTAATAATTCTATCAAACTTGAAATAACATTTTTTTTTACATCTTTAGCTATAGCTAAACTTAAGATAATATTTTTTTCTATAAACATATTATCTTTAGTTATATTGTATGCAATATATAATCATGTATTTACACATATGTAGCATACAGTTGTTACTATGTTTCTATCTGGTGACACTTCATGGAGATTAAATTTACAAATAAGAGAAATATTACCATGGTTTTTAAAGAAAATAACACTTTGACATTAGCCTTTGATAATTGGCTACTTCCTACAAATATACAAAACCTAATGGGGAAAATATTATAGGTCTTCTATTGTTTGAAAACTCAGCGGGTAATACAAGATAGACACCAATGTCTATTACAACTTAGAAGACGGGCTAAAACATTTCATGCATTACATTTAAGTCAGGAAACTTACTGTGCTAATTTTGCAAGTTGAAAGCTTTGACAGTTTTAATAGCAGGGATAAATCTAAACTAATACCACTGTCTTATTGGTCTTGCACTTATGACAGACTTAAGCATTCACTGATACTTAAAAACGGCATTATTTTTAAGAATGTAAATTAATTTTTTTTGAGAAAGTAAGAGTGACATTGTCCAGTGATAAGAAAGGCAACACAATGAAAATACCTACCTTCCTATTATAGCTCTGACTTTCATCTCATAGGCAACTACTTCTATGAGTTACTTTAATCCCTTTTAAAAAAGTTTTATTCAGAATTATGGAATACAACAGATATTCCTTTAAATTTGTTAACTACTAACTTACAGTTTGACATAATAGAGGTTTTTGGGCCACACCCCAGGACCTATTCTCTGGTCAGTATGAGGATGAGGGGCCACTTCCTGGCAGTGTTTATGGGACCATGTGGTGTTAGAGTTTACTTGGGGATCCTGCAGGGATAGCATGTGCTTCAGCCCGTTGAGTCAAGTCCCCTGGTCCCCAAGAGTTTTTTTTTTTTTTTGGGAACACACAGTGGTGCTCAGGGCTTACTCCGGCTTCAGTGCTCAGGGATGATTCCTTGTGGGGCTAAAGGTCCTGGAAATTTAACCCAGGAGAACCACATGCAAGATCTGAATACTGTCTCTTGGGCCCAGATTTTATTTTTAATTGGAAAAATGGAGCGGTTTCAGGTATTGTGTGAAAAAGGAATTACGTACAAAGGATGTGTACTAGTTACCAATTTATATGTGATACCAGTTCTAAAATTATAGGCATATACCATTATATATTGGGCTGGAGCGATAGCACAGTGGGTAGCGCGTTTGCCTTGCATGTGGCCTACCCAGCCAACCCGAGTTAGATTCCTATGCTCCTCTCGGAGAGCCTGGCAAACTACCTCATCTGCACGGCAAAGCCTGACAAGCTACCTGTGACATATTCGATATACCAAACACAGTAACAACAAGTCTCACAATGTTATTGGGCCTGCTTGAGCAAATAGATGAACAACAGAAGAACGGTACTACGGTGCTACCATTTTATATATATATTCTTAGATAATCACTGTACAGTAGTAATGTCTGTTAGGATTTTAGGTTTTTCTTTGCCCATTTTTCTTTAAAATAATTTTTAATATGCAACACTGGTTTTATAATTTCCTGCTTTGCTTTTAAAACACCTGATAGTGGCTGGAAAAATAGTACTGTGGGTAGGGCATTTGTCTTGCATTTGGCTGACGTTGATTTGATCCTAGCACCTTATATGGTCTCTGGAATCCTAAGCATGATCTTGAGCACTTCCAAGTGTGACCGAACCCCTCAGCCCCACAGAAAAATTAATACAACACCTGGTAGTCAAGATTCTGTGACAATAATATCTGAAGATACTGAACAAAAATTTTTTTTTCTTGTTTTTTGGGGGGTGGGCTGGAGCAATAGCACAGCAGTAGGGCGTTTGCCTTGCATGCAGCCAGCTAGGCTGAGCCAGGTTTGATTCCTCCGCCCCTCTTGGAGAGCCGGGCAAGCTACCGAGATTATCTCGCCTGCACGGCAAAGCCTGGCAAGCTACCCCTGAAGTATTCAATATGTGAAACAGTAACAAGAAGTCTCATAATGGAGATGTTACTGGGCTCCCTCCAACAAATAGATGAAAAATGGGAGGACAATGCTACAGTGCTTGTTTTGAGGCTATACTCAGTGGTATTTATGCCTTACTTCTTGCTCTCTGTTCAGGAGTTACCTGGCAGTGCTTGGAGGACCATATTCAATAAATGGTATCAAGTAGGACTTAGCAAGTACCTGAACCATCCTTTAAATTCTCTCTTAAATTTTAGAGATACCTGGCAGTATTCAGAACTCATGGCTCTGTACCCAGGGGTCACTCCTGGCAAGCACCGAGGATCAAACCTGGGCTGGCTGCTTACTAGGCAAGCACCTTATCCATTCAAGCCAGGAGTAAGCCCTATATGCACTCTTTAAGAAGTGCATTTGGCGGGGTGGGAGGTGGTATGGGAAGAAATGTGTTTATTTAATGGCAAAAATGAATTGACAAATTATTAGAAGAATTTGTTTTTGGAACAGTTACTGAAAACTTGGAGAGAGGTAATGCTTGCTCACTGGGTTCACTGCTGTAGAAAAAAAGTGACAGGACATGATGTGAGGGTTTTATTTGTTTGGGAGTATGCCCAGAGTGCTTGGGGGACCATCTGGGATGCTGGGAATCGAACCTGGGTTAACCACATGCAAAGCAAGTGCCCTCCCCGCTTAACTCTGGAAACCAGTCAGAGTTGCTATTCTGTGCAAAGGCGTTATATGCATATAGGCTAAGTCATATGATAAGTTATGAGGTGATAGTCTGAAAAAAAATTGGAATGGGAGGAGGTTTGAGCCACACTTGGCAGTGTTCAGGGTTGGTTTGTTGCACAGGTCAATTCTGGCTGTGCAGAGGATATGCCACATATGGTCCCTCAAGCAACCAAGTTGGTTGCTTCAAAGCAAACACCTTAAGCCCTGTACTATCTCTCCAGTCCTGAAATAGAAACTTTGGAATATTGTGACTTAGACATAGGTAGCAAAATATAATTTATTCTAAAGGGTGAAGAATTAAAAGTGGGAAAGAAAATTAAAATTTACGGAATAGCTTCTAGTTTGTGTATCATACACATTCTTGTATTTTCCTTCCCTTTGTTTTTTGCTATTGCAACAACCAGGGGTCACACTTGTTTGCTGTGCTCAGGCACTTTAGTTGAAGCATACCTGGTGTACACTGTGTGACAGCAGTGATCATGGGATCGTAGCAGTGCCATTGGGATCATGGACTCAACATAAGGTGCTGTGTCAGGCTGAGTTCTCAGCTTTATACCTGTAACATAAGTTGCTCTACCACTGAGCTCTATAGCTTTCCAGGGTCAAAATACTTGAATTGTTTGCTAGTAAGAATCTTAAATAAATGGGCCAACTTAACTTTGGAAAGAGTAATCTTTAATGCTTGGGGTCCATGACCTCTGGTATAAAGAAAAACTGATCCATTATGTCATTAGTTCTCATTCATATGGACCTTAGTTTTTTTTTTTAAGTGTTTGGGGGCTTCATTTGGCGGTAGTAGTAGCTTTAATGCAAGCTCTGCCTTCAGGGATCACTCCTGGTGGGATTTGGGGTATGATATGCAGTGCCATGGATTGAACCCAGGTAGACTGCCTGCCTTAGCTATTACTATATATCTCCAGCTCTGTCTGTAGATTTTTGAAAGTGTTAACGAGTACATAAGTAACTGCAGTATAAAGTTTGGGGAATCTTCATCCAGTACACACACAGACTTACACACACGAACTTAAATGGGATAATATTTATTCCTGTGACCCAAACAGTTTTGTTGAGCCTAGTGTCAACATGCACATCTGCCGAGCCCATTTTCTCCGTGGTAATCTTCCGACCTCTCTGAAGACCCCAAGTGAAGCCCACTCCATGCATGCCCTCCATTAATGTTAATGGTATCTCTGCTCAGTACCCTGTTGGTAGCAGAACAGTCCATTTTCTCACCCTCTTTGCGGGATCCATCCTGCCAGGCCCAGAAGACAAAGAAGAAAAACATTTTTAAAGACTTGCTGTCAGTTCCAGGACTTGAGCCAAGGGAAGACTTGGCTTTATACATTTTAAAAAGCCTTAGCCGTTTACTAATCAACTAGCTCATGAATATGATTTTCTTCAGAGACTTTTCCAGAACTTGAACATATTTATAAGAAGAATAAGTAGTCTTATTAATACTTCTTTAACAATGGAAAGAAAAGTGTAGAGCCAGAGAAATAGTTCTACAGGATAGAGCATAAACTTTATTTGCAGGAGGCCCTGGTTCAATCCCTGGCAAGAGGTTTGAGTCCCCTATTGGGCGTGACTGAGGTTTTTTGTTTTTATCTGATTTTGGGCCACACCCAGCTGTGCTCAGAGCATATTCCTGGCTTTGTACTGAGGGATCACTCCTGGCAGGGCTCCAGGGACCATATGGGGAGATGGGAATTGAACCATGTGTTGATGGTGTGCAAGGCAAGTACCTACCCTCTGTATCTCCAGGGCACTCAAAGTTTTTCTTACTTCCCACAGTTTCATCCGGACCTTTCAAAAAAATTGTGACTGAATTTAATTTGCCAAATATAATGCTAATGCACTTCATGAGATAAAATGTTCAACACTTGATTAATTCTGCAACAAACTTTGTTTCGCACTAGTGTCTTTGCAGGTAGTCTGTCAATAGTGGCTGAGATCGGAACTGCCTTTCACGTACTCAGTAATTTTAAATGATAAATGAATGCATGTAGCTATTGCCATAAATTATGGTCAACTTTTTTTCCGGTAAATTCAAGATTTCAATTTTCCAGAGAGGCACAGCTGTATCAGTAGCCACGGCTGTCAGTACTATTTTACCCACTTCCGGTTAAATGAGAACCAGCTCAGTAACTCAGAGATGTCAACAATTGGTTTAATTTTCAGTGTTGTGGGTGTGTGTGTGCGCGCGCGCGCGCGCGCGCGCTCGCGCTTCACGCCGTAAATTCCCTCGATTAGATGTAACACCTTTAGCCACTGGGTGATCATACTGAATAAAACGATTTACAGGTGGAAGAAAAAAAAAAACGCCCTGATCTTTCATGCAAGTTTATGTTTTGTATAGTAACTTGTTGGAATCCAGCCTTCCCTTGTCAAATCTGAAATGTCACATCTGTCGTGATTAGTGACAAATCTACAATTGCGCCAATTAAGTCAGACTGGCGCTGTAAAAGCTGAGCGATGACTGTTACCGACGGGGAGAAGATGGTTCCTCCAATTATGTAATCCCTTGGGTGGCTAAAGCCGATCCTTGCACATTAACCTTCACGTAAATAAAAGGCGTCTCCACCAGGAAGTCAGTAAAATGGTTTCCCTGCGATTATGTAACGCCCCGGGTGGTGAAGGCTCGAGAACGCTGTCACAGTCCAACCCGGGGAGTCGAAAGGCGACTGAAGGAAGCGGCCGAGCTCGCGAACGCGCTCGACCCCCGGCCGGGGGTAGCGCGGCCCCCGCGGAGCCCGGGCGAGGCCGGCGGCGCGGCAGGTGCGGGCGGGCCGGACACGCCCTTCCCGTCAGGGCGCCCGACAAAGCTCCGCGCACCCGAGGAGCCTCCGTCGCCGCCATTTTCAGGAGTTTCCAGCCACAGCCTGCACCCCAGTGGCCTTAACCCGACAGCGGCGGCAGAGCCCGCCGGCCGCCCGTCTGCGCGCGCTCCCGGGACCCGGGGGGGTCTCCCCGGCCCGCGGACCCCGCGCCTCCGACTTGGTACGTGCCGGCCCCCGCCCCGCCCCTCGGGCAGCCTCGGCCGAACTGAAAGGGCGGCGGAAGGGGCGGGCGGGGCGCGGGGCGGGCCGCTCACGCCGCCCGGCCCAAGCCGCGGGGTCACGTGCTCGCCCCGCAGCCAATCCCAGGGCGGCGCTGTGCCGGGAGCGAGGAGGCTGTGGTGAGAGACGGACGGGGACCGGAGATGTTTTCCAGCCTGGCCTCGGCGGCGTTCGTGGCGGTTGCAGCGGCGACGGAGGCGGCAGCGAAGGCGGCGCCGAGGCGCTGGTTCCGGGGATAGGCCCTCCGCGCCGACTGCGCCGCCGGTCCGTGCGGGCGAAGGGGGCGTGGCGACGGCGGGGCGGCCGGAGGGGCGCGGTGTGGAGCCTGCGTCCCCGCCGGGCAGCGAGCTCTCAGCCCCGCGCTCTCGCGGCGCCGGCCCCGGAGCAAGGTAGGGACGCGACCGGCCGCCGCGGGCCCCGCCCGGGCTCCCGACGCGCCGCGGCGCCGCGGGGCGTTGCCAGCGGGGCGGGGGACTCGGGCGCTCCCCGCGCCGCCGCTCCCGGAACATGGCGGGGCCCGGGCGGGGCGCGCGCGTGCGAGTGCGCGGCGAGGAGAGGCGCGGCCGGGCGGCAGCGGGTTGCGCGGCGCGGCCGTCCCGGGGAGAGCGAGCGGGCGGCCGTCCCGAGGGAGAGAGCGCGGCCGGGGGCGGGCGGGTTGGCCTGGGGTCCCGCGCCCTCCCGGGGGCAGCGCGGCGGGGCTCCGGGCTCCTCGGAGGGGTGCGGCGGTGTGACGCGCGCTCGGAGACCCCGAAGCGCCGGACGGGCGGGCGGTCGTACAAAGAGGGTCGCCGAGCCTAGCTGACAGCTGCTTTAATGATAGCGGCGAGACGCCGCCGAGGACGGGAAGCTGACGGGATTGCGCCAGTGGAAATGTTAGGAAACATCGGACGCCTCGTGGCCACCCCGCGCGTCGCTTCCTCTGGGCCTCCCCGGCCGGGTGGCCCGGCCGCGGGCGCGAGCTGCCGCGATCAGCCGCGCTCCGGGAACCTCCGTAGTCCCAAGTCGGGACGGACCCGCGCGCACACACGTATTTTGAAGGCGCATATAAGTTAAAAGGGTACACAAACCCTTAAATAGCTGTCTTTCAGTAAATTGTTTATTAAAAGCATATGTGCCGTGGGTTGCTTAAAGATCTGGGGCGCCGGCTCTTTCGGTTTCTTCAGACATACAAAGGGCTTTCCTGGAGATTAACTCAGAACTGGCAGGACATATGCTCCGTTGGTGCCAAGTGACTTAAAAACAAAACGAGTTCGTGTTGACTGTAAAAGAGCAAGTCCTGTGTTATCTAATCTCTTTGTAGGGGAAAAAGTCGAATTCGTGCGAAACGCGAAAACATTCAAAACATTGCTACTGGCGATGATGTACTGGAGAGGGGCTTTGCTCTTTATAGAATAAATGTGTAAAGGTCTGCAGATAGCTTGATCAGACTTTACTATTCAGGGCATGTGTTCTATTTTAGACACACACCGCGTTAACGTGGAATAAAACCGGAGTCAAGTGGTATTCGTGGAAAGAAAGAGTAACAAGCAGGGCCCCTCTACTGCGCTTTATCTCTTATGAAGAAGTTTCAGTAGTTAAGGCAGTTTTTATGAAACAGCTGGGAAAGAAAGAAACTGGTTATATATATACCATGTCGAATATTTGGGGAATTGTGACACAGCACCACTACTCAGCTGGGGGCAAGTACTTAGGTGAAAATATGCTATGCAGTTTCTGGATTTAGTTTACTTTGGGAAAGGAAAAGACAAGTTGAATTGAGTTTGGAAAGGAATGACCAGCAAGTGGACTGAAACAATTTAAAGGCAAAAGATGGCTCGTTACTTATTTTTCTTACAGCAGTTGAAAGTGTGTTATTCTGGTAAATGGGAGAAGCGGATATTTGGTAAAATTCTTGGAAAAAAGGTTTGATAATAAGAACATTCAGTTTCGTGGTATTAGTTGACTACTTGCTGAAATTCATTAAACCATTTTGCGTATGTTACTTCAGAATGATTAGTGAGATGATCATTTCTATTGTAGCCATAAGCGGTTTCAAGTGTTTTCTGCTACATGATATTGACGACTTCAGCAGATATGCTTCAGCTATTTGTCTAGTAATTGCCACTAGGTTAAGAGCTGTTGACTGTTCAAAGTTTTGAGTTGAATCTTTTTGTTAACATCAATGTGTATGTGTATTCGATATGCCAAAGACAGTAACAACAAAAGTCTCCAATGGAGATGTTACTGGGCCTGCTCGAGCAAATCGATGAACAACGGGAGGACGATTCTCTCTCTTCTCTCTCAATGTGTATGTGTAAGATGCCTGGACTCTTATTGTTTGGATCACAGCTATGGTCTTCAGAGTGGTGAAGCACCTGAAATTTCCCAATTTGTTTCTTCTTTTATTGTTAAGATTAGTGCTCAGGATCACTCCTGGTAGGCTGGGAGGACCATATGGAGTGCCAAGGATCAAACCCCAGTTGCCTGGGCGTCAGGCAAGTGCCCTACCCACAGTACTATCTCCCTGGCCCCTAGTTTCTCTTATTTCAAAGATGAGAAAATAAATGTCTGTTGAAGTGGATATATCAAAGTCAGCACTCTTTAAAACAATGGTTTTAGCCTAGAGAATTCTTTTTGTTGAAATACTGATTTGTCTTTTTCTTCAAGAAACAGCTTTCATAGTGGAGAGACCATTGAAGCAAAAGTGAGATGGCCTCGGTTAAAATTTTTGACTTGTCATTTCCCAGTTATGTTTCTGGGTAACTTAATATAATATGCACTCCTATCTACATACTTTTTTAACATAATTTATAGGACTTATGGATGGAACAAATTTGTTTACATATGGAAAACACATTGTCTACCATAAACTTCTATATATGTAAAAAAGTGGCTATGTATATTTTAATTTTTAAGCACTTCAATTTTTAATAGTGTTAATATTTGAATAATAGTGTTGGTATACCAGAGAGTACTAGTAGCCTTCAGCACTGTCACCAGTTTCCTTCTCAGCCACCCTCTATTCCCTCTTGACAAGCTCAGTTCCATAAGTAGACTCAGGATCTGTTATGATCCAGCCATTTTTATTCCCTTATCATGTTCATTTGGTAAAGTACGGTTTTATTTTTGACCAGAGGGATGGTACAAGGGATAAGATGTTTGCCTTACATGTAGCCTATCCTATGCGGGTCTACCAGGAGTGACCCCAGTGCACTAGTGGGTGGGACCCCAGAACAAGAAAAACAAATATAAATGATATTTACAAAGAAAATAGTTGTTTTAGAGTAACTAGGTGTCCAAATCCTTAGGTTTGTGCTTAGTCCTAGCTTTGTTTTCAGCACCTGCTGTTTCACAGATTATAACTCCCCATAGATACGTTTTCTGATCCCCACTTAGTTCTAATCTTTGTAAACCCTCTTATGAACATTTAAAATATTGCAGTTCTCAGAGCTGACTTCCTTTGGAGAATATGAAGTTTCTTTATAGAGCATTTGAAAATACTTACAAGTACATTAACACATGCAAAATCTTTTAATAGACCAAGACTTTCTTAAACTGTTGATGAAAGTATATTGGTTGTAATGTTCGTTTGTTGCTAGTTTCCAAATACATCTATAACATATTTCCTTTATAAATTCAGTTTTGAATAGTTCATGTTAAGGGCATCTTATCTATCCAAATACATAAATATGTTGTCATTGGTTTTTCCCCCCCCAAATTTTTATGCTTTTGTATTAAGTTTAAATACATTTTCTTCCATATCTTTACTATTATTTTGGTGATGTCAAGAATCAAACCTAGGGCTGCCTAACACATGTAATCTTGATCACGTACAGTGCTGGGAACCAATATATTAGTAATATAGTATAGAGTATTAGGTTATTTAGAACCTGAGTATTCATGATACTCATTTGTCAGACACTTAGAATGTGTACATACCTTTGTTCAAAGTTTCAAGTGAAATATTTTGGATGATTTTCATAAGCACTATTATAGTTGAGGAAATAGGCTTTGCAGTTAGATATATATCTATATATCATAGATATTCACACACAATTGCAATAGCACAGCAGTAGGGCGTTTGGCTTGTTTGCAGCCCACTTGGCCAAGCTGGGTTCAATTCCTCTGCCTCTCTCGGAGAATCCCCGAGAGTATGTTGCCCGCACCTGCATGGCAAAGCCTGGCAAGCTACCTGTGACGTATTCAGTATGCCAAACACAGTAACAAGTCTCACAATGGAGATGTTATGGGCCCGCTCAAGCAAATCGATGAACAACGGGAGGACAGTGCTACAGTTCAGTGCTACACTCTTAAAAAGTGAGACTCCAGGGACTGGAGTGATAGCACAGCGGGTAGGGTGTTTGCCTTGTACGCGGCCGACCCGGGTTCGATTCCCAGCATCCCATATGGTCCCCTAAGCACCTTCAGGAGTTATTCCTGAGTGCGGAGCCAGGAGTAACCCCTGAGCATTGCTGGGTGTTACCCAAAAAACAAAAAAAAAAGGAAAAAAATAAGTGAGACTCCATTTTCCCCAATCTTAACCATTTCTCTGTTTTCTCATTAAATGTATTTAAGACATTGTTTCTTAAATTTCAGACTTAATGAAAAATGTTTGTAGATAGCTACTGCACCTTCCAGTGTATTGATGAAAGAGCAAAATGCCTTGTGAGAATCATTGAGGGTAGATTGGTAAATTTTTTTTATTGAGATGCTGATACTGGGTTTTGTTTTTTTTTTCCTTTTATGGTGTTAGTAGAAAATTATTCTCACCAGTTACAGAAAGGTCAGTGAGGATTTCTAAAATTTAAAGAGATTCAAATTCAGACTGAATGTTCTTAGAAAATTAAGATGGTTCACATCGAAATAAGAAGTAAGTTCTGAGTTACAGGGAGAAATTTATAGCAAGTTACAGGGTAGAAATAATTTTTTTGACATTTGAAAAAATTTCTTCTTTGGCCAGTGTTTTAACTTTTTTGTTGTTTCAAAAATGTAGTGTTTTTCATTTCTCATCAGTTGTACTTGGGGAAATTATAATAAATATCAGTGACAAATCCCATGTTGTTAAACTACCATATTATTAAAAGCACAGTAACGTCTCTATTGCAATTGTGTGTGAATATCAAAGCATTATTAAAAGTAGCATCTCTTTTTATTCTTCTTCTACAATTTTATCTGTATTCGCCTAATGAAAAATAAAACCATGTGTAACTCTCCTCCTAGAAATAGTTGTATTCTCTTTAGAAAACAATATAATATCTTCAAAAACTGGTGTTTTGCTAGTTCATTTGATAACTCTTTGTTTGATCTCTTGAACTTCACAACTATTCTGAGTTCAGTATGATGATGATTGTCAGCTATCTAATATTGAACTGTGGATTGAATCCAGGTTAAAATTCTCTGGAGTAATTCT